ATAGTGTCTTTTCTCTGTCCTACGTGAAGTGCGGCCTGCGAGCGAGCTACTGTCACGCAGGTGTGTTCATTCTGAGACCTGTTGAGGGTATATTTGTGGTGTTGTGGTTGTTTTGTTTGTTTTCTCACCATTTCACTAGTATCCCCTTCAGAGGTTCTGGATAGGGGTTTGTGACAATATTACATGAAAACTAGTCGCTTTCTTTTCCATTCCTCTATCTCTCTATGCTTAGGTTACTCTATTGTATCGTCAGGACGCAGCTTTGTAATATTCGAACGCCGCGGAGCTAAGCCGGCCGCCGCGGCGCTTGTCTCCACAGCATTCCGTCATAAATATGCGCGCAGAGATGCTAGACATTTACTTCCTTCATCAAACCTTCCATCTCAAATTCCCAACATAATGGCGCCTACTTACTTAATCGTTGGTGCGACTGGCAACACCGGCCAAAGTGTTGTGGAAACCTTGTCCAAGCTTTCAACATGCGCTGTCATCGCCTTGACACGATCGCTGCACAGTCCGGTCGCAAAACATCTCGCGACTCTCCCAAATGTCCAAGTCCTCGAAAAGAACTGGATGGACATCACGGCACAGTGGCTACGTGAGCACGAGATAGAAAGGGCCTTTGTCGCAACTCCTAGCCAGCCAAGTCAGTTTGCCGAAGAAACCACATTCCACGTTGCCGCTCTCAAAGCCGGCGTCAAATACGTAGTGCGCATTTCAACAACGGCAGCCAACGTCAGACCTGACTGCGAAGCCTATTATCCGCGCATCCATTGGGCAATCGAGGCTTTGCTTAGCACACCAGAGTTTAAGCCGCTGCAATGGACGTCTCTCCAGGCCAACAACTTCTCCAGTTTCTGGTTAGCTACCGCAGCCGAGTTCATCAAGCAATATCGCAAGACCGGTAAACAAGACACACTTCGGTTGGTGGCATCAGAGTATGCACCTGTTGGGACTGTCGACGCCAACGACGTGGGAGTTTTGGCGGCGCATCTGTTGTTGCAAGAGGACATCTCACCGCATAACAACGCCAAATATGTTGTTAATGGACCTGAGGACATTACGGGAAGACAGATCGTTGAGTTGGTTGAGAGGTACATCGGCACCAGCGTGGACAACGTTATCTTCAAAGATATGTCGTTTCTTGATTATATGATTGGTGTGACTCAAGGGTCCCAAAGTGTTTTGATGTCTATGAAGCATGGCCCAGAGACAGCGTGGAATGGGGAGTGCACAGCGTCTGCCACAAGTGAGGCAGTTTTGAAGCTAGCTGCGCCTACTCGGACACCAGCCGACACTTTGAAGGCAATGCTGCAGGAATGATGCCGTGGATAGTTAGCTAGGCAGGATAGTGCGACATACTCCTAGCATTTACAAACCATACCATGGTTAAAGTTCCTCTCGACCTTTGAGTATCAAATTTCTATCTAATAGAACAAACTCCACTATGTCTTGTTGAAGAAAACCGCAGACAGTGATGCTACCTATCCAACTGATTGCTTTCAAATGACGTGAAATGTCAGCTTACCATAATTTCGTCCTGCGGACTTCGTGATTCTATGCCTGCCTGAGATGTGGATTCCCTGGAAGTGTTTGAAGCCCTGGCGGTATTAGTACAACCTGGAGAATTCTCATGACACGCATAAACTTACATTCACCGCCTCTTCCAACAATCTCCCCTTCAACCTGTGTTGGTTTCGCGCAAGCCACGCCTTCTGCAGGAGACTGGAACTCCAACGCATGACACCGATCGTTGACGCAATCATCCCCCAGCACAGCATCCATCCCCCGCTGAAGAGCATCTCCCTTCCAGCCAAAGATATAGTCGCCGTGCTGTCCATACCCTATGCTATCAATTGACATATTAGGCAAGCTCACACTTTCAAGACATTGGCCACTTACCCGTCACCAAAGCTGTACACAAACGGCTGCCTCTTCGCTGTCTCATCAAAATAAGCCGGGGCATTGAACTGTGATGTATCCCACAGCATTTCATACATCAACTGTGGGATTCGCACCGGGTGTGTCTCTGGGCAGGCCTGGCCGGCCAGTTTCCCTCCTCCGACAGGGCTGTATGCAACATGTGAACTGTGGTCGGGAGAATCCAAGTTTTTACCGTCCCAACAAGATGGGAATATCACAGAGCCCCTAATACCACCAGGGCACACTTTCGTCGGCAGCTCAGAGCTATCAGCAGAGTCGCACGGGGTGAATCCTGTCGTGTTGCCATTGCAGCGGTGGCAGATGCCGGGGAAGGTACGGTCTTTTGACGTGATGTCTGGCGAGCCGGCGAGCATTCTGAAGCCCTGAGACACCGGTCAGGCTGGAAGATTTCAACCTCAAGATCTTGAAGGGGAAACTCACTGGGGGAAATGCTGTCACTTTTCCGTTACCAGATGTACTGCCAAAAACGGATGTCATGTAATAGACCGTGATCCCTCCTCCTACTGGATGACGGACTCCATCCATTCCCACAAAGTTTGGACGTTGAGGAACAAGCTTGAAAGAGCCATTTTCTGGAGAGCGAAAATAGAGAGAGGCAGTCCAGTAGTTGGAGAAGTCTTCAGAATACGTGCAAGTGGTGCAAGTGGATGCCCGAGAGGGTTCCATCTCGGAAGGATTCATCTGAACTTGTCAGCACCATGTGCTGCCATCAAAAGCAAGGGCCATCCTACTGTCACGTTGAATGAGTTTCCACCCACGATCTGGTGTGTATGTGGTGAAGGGCTCAAGCCGGGATTGACCAATGGATCCGTCCTCTCGATGACAAGCTGAGAGCACGCGAAGCGCAGGAGCTTGCCAACAATGACATTTTGAGAGGTGACAGTAACAACCTGAAGGAGTAGGCCCGCAAAAATGAATGTGAAAACCATGATTAGACGGGAATTGCTTGATCAGAAACTATCAGCAACAAGCATATTGGGACTGAACTGGGGGTCTGCCGGTTATAAGTAGACTGTGACAGGTTGCCGCTCAATAAATGAAGACACCACCCTCCTCCAGCGTTTCAATGAGGGGCCAATTGGAACTTGGAAGCAATTAAGTTTCGGGGGATATATCCGAGAGGCTTTCGAAACCCTCGGCATAGTAGAGCTGGAGTTGTGAGGAGAGAGCATACACAACTTACTTGATATACCTTACGTCCCAGTTGGCATACAATGTTTCCTGTCGACCCAAGCTGGAAGCTTAGCACACTCTCTTGGACAGGTCGGTCACCTGTCCGATTGGAACACCTTTCCCAGAAAATAAATTGTTTGTTTTCTCTCCGGAATACCTTGCTATTACAAAGTACTCTATACCTGGTAGGTATCGAGATATATGCATAAATGTCAAAAGTAGTGCACCCCTAAACCGGGATGGAACCACCGGCAGTCCTGGCAGCACCCTCTGATGCAGACAGAAAAAAACATAATCTTCATTTCGGAATGATAGTTAAAGGGGTCATATCCTACTACTTCCACGCCAAAAGCTCTCCATTCATAACCCCAAACCACGATCCCTTCTTCTCCTTCCATTCATGACAAGCTTTGACAAAGTCATCAACTTCCTTGGGTGTTGCATGGCCTCCTCCGATAGTCCTTTCCCGAAGCTGGCTTCCCTCCCTGAATCTTTCCGCACAACTGTCGCCAAAGAATTGGACTTCCTCCTCGTCCGAGAAGCACCATGAACTTGCCGTGCTCTTCACCTTATGCTGTTCAAACCCAGCTTCCAGTGCAGCGTTCTTCAAGCCCATCCCCATGTCCGGACTGCCTCCGGTCTCGAGAATCGTGCCCGTGATCGCCTTCTCCCACACGTCGAGTCTCTTATCCACCTGAAACCACCTGGTTGTGCTCATGATCATCTCCTTGCATCCAACGACGCCTCCTGGCTTGAGCACTCTTCGGACCTCTTTCAGTGCAACAGTGGCGTCGCAAGGCAGATGCATAATGACCATGTGTAAATGTACGACATCGAAACTATCGTCCTCAAACGGTAGGCGAGAGGTCACATCTCCGACCACAAAGTCGCCATTGCCAAGGGAGCGAGAAGTAAATGTGCTGCGTGCTGCATTGAGAGCTGACTCGGTGATTTCGACGCATGTCACCCTCCCTTGAGGCACGAGAGCAGCCAAGTCGGCAGATATGGTTCCTGGTCCGCACCCAATGTCGAGAATGTCGAAGTGGGACTTGATGTGAGGAATGAGATACGCTGCATCCCGCTGGGCGGTGCGCCGAGAGTGAGCGGTGAGAACGGCGGCTGAGTGGCCGTGAATGTATTTGTCTGCCATTTTGGATGGTTGATGGGAAGAATCGCCTGAATTCAAGCCGCGGCCGGCATGGAGATGGAGATCCGAAGAGGCCTACCCCACCCGGCGTCTAACTTTGCAAGTTTCTGAGTCAGCAAGGATGCTGAGTTGTTTCTACACTATTTCCACTACAACGTCTTAAGCCACGTCATGATCGCCCTTGTCATGACCCCATCCTGATATCCCAAAGCAGCATCGAGCACCGCTTGGACGTGCGCTTCACCTTCACACTCAACCATGATCCTCTCCCAACTCCCCAGTTCCTCCGTCCAGTCTTTACTCTTTTCCTGTTTCGCAATCACGGTCTGGGTATTGGCGTAGGACTCCCCGCCAAAGAATCTACAGTCGTCCAAAAACACTTCTGCTGTCCCAACCGTGATGAACAGCTTCTTCACCAACCTGACCCCACCTTTTCCTTGAAACACAGCCTGCCACACCTTGTCTGCTCCCTCAACTCCGCACAGATTTGCCCAAACCTCCTTCTCATCCCCTTTCCAAGCCTCTCCAAACTCATCCACCTGTATTCTGGTCAGGTAATCTCGCTTTTCATTCATTTTGTAGCTTCCCATTGGGGAGTCCATCGACTCCTTATGCAGTCTGACAAACGGACTAATCATCACCGCGGCCTGGAACTCTTCACCACTTTTCATCTGGAGCATTGGGGCATAAGGGCTGGGGTTCTGGATGTGGGACAATACTGATCCAACCAGCGTACCACCTGCACTGTCGCCCGCTAAGATAATGTCCTCGGCAGAGATGCCGAGACCAGAGGAGGTGCACATAAGATAGGAAAGGGACGCCACGCATTGGATGAGCTGTGCTGGGTATGGGTGTTCCGGGGCTAGGCTGTATTCGAGAATGATGATTTGCTTTGCTCGAACTGAATGGCCACATGCGAGGATAAAGGGCATGTGAGGGGATCGCAATGGATTCACGAAACCACCGCCGTGAAAGTAAAGAAGCGTCGGGGCTTTCCCAGACCTGGATTTGGCTTCAACATTGCCCAGTGTCAAAATATGCAACACTGCTGGCGGCAAAAGAGCAGGATGAAGCTCGGTCGATGAAGCTGGTAAAGTGACGATCTGGTGTGCGATCTTGTGCTTGCTGCAGTAGTCCTTGATTGTGGACCCCGTGGAAACACGACGGACCAGCCATCTGAGCAGAGGGGTGGGAAATATGCTTCTTTGCGTGCGCAGAAATGTCAGGGCGCAGTTTTGGCGCCAGTGAAGAGATTTCTGGTTAGAAAACAAGAATGCCAGCGACCATTTTGTTACTGCTGATGATTAGCTGCTGTCAACCCGCTACAACGCGAAAAACATACAGAAGAGGGGAAACAAGGCAACCAAGGAGATCCAGTCAAGGACCTCCGGACTGGCGTCTGGGCGCAACTTTTGTGTTGATGTCATCTTTGACAAAATCACGAGAAATCGAGCCCCGAGGTGCCTAAAAACTATTATGCATCATTGGGCTTTATTAACTGTTGTCATTCAACAGTTGAATGGGTTGAGGTCCGAAGGAACCGAACAAAGTCAGGCCTCGGCAACGGCGGAAGCCGCCTACCTATTTTTAGCTTAGCCTCGGATGACAATGGACGCTAGCTCTGAACCCCTGAACCCTTTTTCCAACGTCTCAGACGGTGAGGATACCCGCATCAACACCCTTTAACTAGAACTACAAGTCTCCCCAGATCATATTTCCAAAAGGTTGAAAACATACCATGAAAAGGGGACCATTTCATCTGGCATAGCTCACAATGCTGTGCAGCAGACCCACAAAATCGAGCCCAGAATCTCTTCAACAATGTCCCTCAGCTCCTTGACGTTGAACAGCTGGGCAATCCTCCCGGCACGATAACTAAAGAAAAGGAGGAAACCTACACGCGAACCATCCAAAATGCCTACTCGCTATACTCGCCTCAAAGCAAAGAAAGTATGAATGGTAAGAGCGTGTCCTCCTAAGGGTACCGATGTCCAGGGACCTATTTGCGAGATATACCGCAGCGACATTATTCGGGCTCGCCGAAATGGTTACACGGCTCTTCCTTTTCCGGCACTCAACCAATCAAGATCGTTTTCCAAGACAAATATTGCCTCCGATCCCATATTTAAACAAGCCCTGCATTGAACTTTGTGGCATTCAAGGTCACCAAAACTCTCCAAGAAGCTCTGAGAACACTTCATCAGTCAAGCTTTGACGGTCATCTATGGGTAGACATGTTCGTATCAATCGTTGAGCATTGTTACCAGGCTAGGTACTTTGACGCAGAGCATACCTATAAGGAGCCTCGTCAGTAGAGGTATGGCTTGAAAGTAATTCGAGACACAGTTGCAATATTTTGTTGCAGGACGACAACGTTTTAACCGATCAGCTTGTAGCCAATCTCGACCCAGAAACAAATTTCCTTAAACTAAAGAGTGAGAGTATAACCACATCGAGAAGACCAGAGCATCAGTGCTTTGTCACATTGCTTAGCGTATTGACGGTAATAAGCTGGCAGAGTTTGTCGCGAAGGTATCATGCGATCCGGTATACTGTCCGCTGGTATTGAACAGCGAAGGCCGAGAACAAGAGAACATATCTTACAATGCTCTGACAGGACAAGATTAGCCACGTTTTGGCACCATCATGCTTGACCTCGGATACTTGTTGCAGCAAAGCTTTGCTGCCAATACCGAACTGAAACCTACTGTCTCTGCGCTCCTACATCGGTGTGAAAGGTTGAGCAACATCGACTGGTTCCGACGGTTGGGTTAGTGTTTGGGAAACTGGATGGTGCCGACAATCAGCTTTTAGGAAACAGGTCATTACAGTTGTGAGATGGGCACGGTTATCTAATCCCCCGAGCCCCTGAGACCATAAGGTGTAGGCCAGCAACCCAGAAATTCGATATATACCTAAGGTCTTGATCAATGAAACGAGTTTAGGTTTCTAGATTTCTATCAAATTCGACTACCATATTCCCTGTCCAATCAGTGTTACTTTCCAATCAAAATGCCGGTAACTTGGTTGTCGTTGGGAATGAAGTCAAGAGTAGAAATGAGCTGGCCATTGGAGAACCACGCCATCTGTCAATTCTCTCCCATTAGGGTGAAAGACGGGCAGCATCACGAGGAAATAACACCGTCTCGCGAATGTCTTCCAAGCCCAAGAAACCCTGTACAAGACGGTTGATGCCCACTGCAGATAAGTCAGCACGATTCCCATGTCACAAGGATCAACAAAAAACACTTACACCCGAAGCCTCCCCAAGGAGGCATGCCAATTTCGTGGGCCGTCATGTACGGCCTCCATTCCGGCGTTTCCGGGTCAATCGGATGAGGTCGGTTGGCAAATGCGGCTGCTAGGTCTTCAGCGCTGTGGAGTAGTCGGCATCCAGTAACACATTCCTGTCCTCTGAGAATGACATCGAAAGATTGGGTTGTGTCATCCTGTTCATCAGAGGGATAGATATTGCAGGACCTCAAATGTTTCGGGAAGTGAGTGATGAAGAAAACATCGGTTGGAGGGCTGACGTGGGATTCTTCGCTGGCGAGGAATCTGCCGAGTGCTGCTTCTTCGCTCCTAGTGAAGTCTTTGTCATCGTCGGACTCGATACCTATAAAGTCTCTCAGAATGGTTTTGGCTTCATTGAAACGGATGCGTGGGAGCTTTCCGCTCTTTCCAAGACCTAGCTTGAAAGTGCCAGCTAGGGGGTAGAGTCGTTTTGCGGTGTTGGTCAGCGTAGTGTATTTGTCCTGACTCTGCAAAGAGTGTAGAAGTGATACCAGTAGACTATCAGCAAAATCGAGGATCTCTATCCAGCTATGCTGAAGATTGAATACAAGTTCCAGCATGGTGAACTGTGACCAAATCAGCATTTTTCAAACTAAGAAAAAGGGGGATTCTCTACCTCGGTGAGATGTCTGCCATCAGAAACAGGCTCCCTCCGAAAAACTGTGTGAAAGTCGTAGACGCGCTCCAGGTCGGCTGAAAGTGCCATTCCAAGGTGTATCTCTCCTGTTGGCGCCAATCTGGCTGTCCTGCCGAAGTATGGAACTGTAAACAAGTCGTCCTCCTCTCCTGGGAATTCGTAGCCAACAAGTGCAGGGGTTGGGACGTGGTAAAAGTCATGGAGCTTGAGGTATTCTACCGCCAGCTCATGGACCCCCGAGAAAAGCTTGAAGATTGCTGCTGTTGCAGGAACACGAGCATCCAGGAGTCTGTTGTCGAGTCTCTCTTCGATCAACTTCGTAGGAGATTGGATCGAAGCTAGAACCTCCCCTGAAGCTCCATGAAGGACATTGCTATGAGCACCTGGAGTCTTGGCGGCCGACAGGTTGTGGATATCGCAGAGCTCGATTGGAGTGATGTCAGAGTCAGTGTCATGAGCCACCGATCGAGCGGTAACCCGAACAAGTGACTCTGGCGTTAGAAAGCTGACGGTATCGAAGACATCATTGTCAAGGCCATTTTTTGATTCCACTGTAGCTTGAAGAAAATGCCCATTGACGCATCTGAACAACACCGCAACTGAATTGCTGTCATCGGATAGAACTGGGCTGTTGTGAACGCGAACATCCAAAGACTTGATGTCGGTATCGCCGTTCGACAGGTGAGATGGGCCGGGTTGGGATGAAATCTGCCTAGCATTAAGCATCGTGCACTGTTGTACGGTATTGAACAAGATTACTTTCCCTTGAGATCAGGTTGGGGGGGGGGGGGGGGGTAATTTCAAGAGCAAATGCCATGTGTCACTAGATAATGAAGGAATTTATGGCAATAGCGGCGGGCTGAACATGTCGGTCAAGAGGTTTGGCCAAGCATGTTGAATCGGACTTGTGCACTGATGGTAGCACGAAGCTGAGCAAGACAGGTAGCGCTTGGTAAGAGTTTGCGGGGATTAGTCGTTCTGCGTGGATGCAATCCTGCCTCATGGCACCCCAACCAGGTATAACACCCCAGAATGGTTGTCGATGAATGACCTTGCGTGCCTTGGGTTGTCCTCGCTTCATAATTTTCTATGACTTTCAAAATGGCCATTGATACACCCACTTCCTCAACCAAGACCCTCGAGCTTGAGGTTGTTAGATACGAGCAGCTCAGGAGCAACGACAACGCCGAGGTGAGGAAGCTAGCCCAGGCCTTGTCTGACCAGGGAATGCTGTTCTTGGACCTCCAGGGATCCACGGCAAAGCAACTCCTGAAAGACCTGCAAACCGTGATACAGCATCAGCGAGCCTTTTTTGAACAGCCGCAGGAGGAGAAGTCCAAATATCACACGGGCATTCGATACAACGGGTGGGTACAGGTCGAAATTCTTCTTTTCTACTCATCGCTAATCCAGGCCCTTTTCTCAGATTTTACACTTCCCCCATTGGTGTCGAAAAGATTCACCTTGGTCGCAAGGAGCAAATGGCAGGGGACCGGTCTCAACTTCCCGAAGCACTTCAGCTGGTGGCAGACAAGGTCGAAAATGTCTCTTCGTTCATCGACAAGATACTCCGCGAGATTGGCATGACGTTGGCAAGCTCGATGGATGAACGATTCCCGGCCAGTTTGCAGGACGCCACCAGACCCGGCCAAAGTCATCTAACATTGGGTATCTCAAAGGCACGTGCCGGGACACCTCTAATGGACGGCCACACCGATGACGGTTTCCTCACTCTCACGTTCTATGACGAGCCCTTTCTCGAAGTCTTGGATAGGTCTACAAACGAGTGGAATTTGGTTGAGGTGAATCGCAACATGCCAATCCTGAATGTAGCTGCCCAGTCGGCAAAGAACTCGGGAGGTCGGCTGTACAACCCCTGGCATAGGGTGAAGATGGGGGAGAACGAGATAAACTTGGTCATGTTTGATCTGTTTGAAGATTCGAATTAGTAGACTGCTAAGCTTGAGACGTTTCGTTTTTTGTCGTTGGACGGGATGGCAATGGGTTAGTAGCAATACATATCATACCTAGGTATCAAACACAAAAGCCACCTCATGTTTTTTGCGACAAAACTTTTACAACTATCGTTTAGGTACCCAGATACACCCAAAATTTCCATCTGCTTCTTTTCAACCCAAGACCAACAGTCGGTGGATTTCTGCCCGTCCAAGATCATACCCAGTGACAAACTCACAGCATCGGAGCCCATCCCTCTTCAGCTCCGCCCAACATGTCTCAAAGCCAGTGGCCTTCCGTTGGATCATTTCTGACAGACAAAGCCTCTCCCTTCTTCCCAGCAACTCTCCATTGTCAGCCACCCATTGCTCCAAGTCAAGAAAAGCACGCGCCAGACCAAGCAAAAAGACGCTGTTGATCATCGGGTGCTGAGCCCACCCTAAAAGGTCATGGGAAAACCTGCCGGAGTCATTGAGGTTCTCATCTTCTGGACGGCCAATTATGTCTCCTAAACAGGTCGGCTGTGGCAAACCCCTATTCTTCATCATTTCGAGACCCAGGGCCACCAGGTCGGGGCTGTAGCCAGGCCAATGCTGCTCATCCATGCAGGCAATACCTGTGCCCACCGGCTTGTAGCCCTTTTCTGCTCGCAATATTTGCAAACAGTTGGACACCAGGGGTGTGATTGTCTGGTGAGGGGAGCTGATGATATTTTCCAGGAGTCCTGCGTGGGCAAACCACAGTGGTAGTAGGGCGTCTATTTCAACTGCCGACTTGTGTATCTGGATTGGTGACTTTGGCTCAAAATCGTTCATCTCGCACAGCGACCAGGTCCTCGTGGCGGGAAAAGTCGGATGGCTGACCGCAGCATCATGACGCGAGGGGTCAAAGGTCTTTTCCAGGCTCTGATAGCCACCAACACGCCCCCAATAAGCCTCGCCCATATCCTTGCCATGTGGTCTGAGGGAGTCAATCCAGTTCCGAAGCAGTTCAGTCTCGACGTGAGTGAAAGCACCAAACATCCTCCCTTTCCAGCCCAGCTCCCGCATCAAAAGGCTCTTGCTGCTGTCACCTCTGCATACCCATGGCTTGGAGTCTGCCAAGGCGTCAAGGAACTCATCCTTCCAACCGTCATCATCCTTGGGGCTCGAAGGAGGAGCAGAAAACCAAGATGACAATTTTCTCTTTCCAATCCGGGCGCGACTCGTACAATGAATCTTGGTGGCAATGGTGGCTTTCTTGCAGATGATGTCAACCAGCTTGTCCTCGTAATCATCCACGGTATCCCTGTCATCGAGACTCTGCCCGAGGCAATAGCCAGCCTGCACACGCCTCCACGCTGTCTGCTGGTCCATGATGCCCGTGTTCTGAACAATCTCCATAAAGTGTGCAATGTTGCCAATCGCCATCGCGCAGTGACCCGAGTGCGCGTTGTCGATCGATATGTGCAAAGCATAGTAGTAGGGCGAGATCCCAAACTCGGGCAGCTCCTTGTTGGCTTTCAAGACCCCAATGGCAGGCTGCTCGTAGTGGAGATTAAACCCCAGAATCTCAGGTAAAAACTCGTTAGGAAAGACGGAAATGAGGAGTTGTCCAATGGCATATCTCCAAATCGTCTCATCCTCCATGCCATGGCGTGGGTGTATGAAATCGAGCGAGTCGCCGTTGGGCAGGTCCACACCCACGCTCTGGAGAAGCTCCTTGTAGAGCAATATGTGGTTCTTTCCCAGATCCCCATCACCAAGCTCTTCTGAAAAGATTTGCCAAGCATCCTTTGTCACGCCCCGAAAGGCGAAGGGGGTTGTGACCTGATGAATCCGTGCGAGCCATGCGCCATCGGTGTAGTTCCACGGTGCGCTGTTCTTGAGAAACATGCAGGCTTCTTCGAAGCTTTTGAACAGCTCAGGTCCACCACCAAGCTCCCTTCGACGCATGTAGGCTTCGAATTCCAGACCCACATCGAGCTGGATGTCTTGGATGAAGCTTTGGAGACGGGAGGCATCAAAGGTCGCGATGTTGAGAATGCTGCGAGATCGGTCCTTGTACTTGGCCATCCGGAGTCCTTGTTCGAGTAACGAAAGCAACGTTTCTCGAACTTGGGGCAGGATTTCTGGGAACCGCTCCAGATTTTGAACTTTGTGGTAAAGATCTTTGAAGTGACGCATTCGTTGCTGCCGCTTCCTTTCTAGGCGTGGTGACTTGGGCTTTTCGTCGGTCAAGATCGCTATGTGGCCTGTTGTGGAAGCATTGGACCAAGTTGGGAACGAGAGTCGTGGTTTTCGCCATGGGAACGAGATGTAAAGAAAACAGCTAAGAGGGACAATTATCAAGAGTAAAGATTCCAAGTTGAACATGATGGAGCAATTTTCTTGTGACTGAAAGCGAAGAGGTGTGTGCTTCCATTACGAAAAAGGAGATCGGTCTCTGTGGGCATTCTATATCTAGTATTCAGGGCTTCATAAGCTCCTGTCTTTCATCCCGCGTCCCGCACTGAGTCATGTCAGCAAATCTTGTTGGGAGAGTGATGGATATGACCCTACAACGTATGGAATCATGGGTCATGGTCGGGTTCCGCAGTAAACAAGGTGCAAGTAAATGGAGACTGTTGATCCGAGAATGAAAACTGCTAAGGTCGATTAGCTGCCATACAAAGCGATCACGAAATAGGTAGCACGGACCGTCAATACGACTCAAGGTTTCTTGGTAATCATTTCAATTCTTGAGCCTCCCTACTGTGATCAGATCTAGCCAAAGCCTGGTCCAAACTCTCCAACAGACTGGGTACAATGCTGTCCCCGAACAAATGGGGATGTACGTCCATAAGAGACCTCAACGCTTCTAACAGTCCTAGCAGCTGTCGAGAGTGGAATGTGATGTCTTGATCGAACTTTGACGCCACCCCTGGTCCACGTCTTTGAATCCACATTGTGCTGTCCAAAAGACTACTGAGAGCAAGACTATCCCAAAATATACCCCCTTCCATGATACCCTGAACAGGGGAATAAACGGTGTAAACTATTCTCGAAGCAGGGGGTATGATGAGTATATCGTCCTGCTCCAAAATAAAAGCCCTTTGTGCATCACTTCTCTCAAGACTCTTCAGCGCAGGGTCCGTATCAGTGTCAGAAAGAGAGGCAAAGATGCAGATTTTGAGACCCTCAAGATTACGCAACCAAACCCCACTCATGGTGGCAAAGGATGGCCCAAAGCAGAGATGGGGAAGGGTGACGGCGTTGAAGTCAGTTCTGATCTCAGGCAAAACCTCGGGGCTTCCTAGTTGTTGGCATGCACTGGCACTCCTGCTAGTGCGTAGTCTGAGTCGCTCTACCAGACAGTCTAGTAGACGGAAACGTGGAAGCATGGTCAACAAAGGTCGATGCGAGTGGGTCATGTTCCTGAGATTGGAAGTGCCTCGATCGTGAACAGAGTTGGCAAGTTCATCCTCCAATAAACACAAAGAATCAAGCATGGCGTGCATACCAGAATCTAGAAAGGTTTCCTTGATGATCACTGGCTTTTCGAACACTTGGTGTGCTTTAGCGGCCTGGATAGCTTCGTCGGAGGTGAGATAGAGCACATCAGCATCCATGGGAGATGCAGCACGACCGGGCAGGACCGCATTACCTTGCGTCCACATCGAGGCCCATTTTGTTGCTGCCTTCAGCGGTGGTGCCTGGTCTTGGTGGGTTTCAAGGGGGTCTTGCCGGGCCTCCTTTGCAAGCATGCCGTCGATATAAGGCATAATTGTAGGGTAATATTGGTTATGAAGCGTTTCCTCCAGGCTGGCCAAGCCTTTTCCTGTGATTGGAGCCGTTCCAAGATATAGAGCTGCTGAGGTGAACAGGTCGGCTTCCAACTCGCTGGATTGTGGTGAGGTTGGGCTAGGTTCCGAATGGAGTCGAGATGGGCCTGAAAAGCTGGGGGTTGTGGGTTCTGATGTTATGGTCGAAGGTTGAGGTTGCCCAAAGGAGTTCATGGCTGAGGGCGAAAAGAACAAGGCTGAAGATTGCCAGCACATGGGATTGTGCATATCGATGCTGTAGGACAGGTCTGCGCTGTTCCAGTCCCACATCGAGTCAAAGAGTGGCATCGCTTCCGAGGGCGCAGAGGACATCTCCTGGAAGTTCTCTAGCTGATTCAGCGACACGTCTAAGCTGGGCTGTGTGTCCCGAAGTTGGTCCTGTGCAGGTGCTATCTGAGCATCTCCCGGGCCATCATCATCGCCTGTACTCACTTCCGCAGGCGAGGTTTTCAGCGGCATGGTATGCTGGTGTCTTGGCGAAGATGGCAGGCAAGCTTCGCCCCGAGCAGCGAGGACGCCGAATCGGTCCCTTCGCAAAAGATGGGCCGCAAAGTGACCGGGTCTGATGTCACGCAAGAAGACTGTCGCCTGTGCGTCCACGGCGACACGGCCATCCTGACTGGCGACCCACAGCTCCTCCATTTTGCCATCAACTGTCGTCAAAGCCAATGTAACCAGATCAAAGTCGCGATGGGGCTGCAGAGGAGCCTCGTTCAACGTCTTTAACCGGCCACCAAGAAGCGCCTGTCGATGTCGGTGTAATAACACAGCATTGAGGCGCGGCAGAAATTCGTTGAAGAAGTCGGGGTAGCTTGTTGCACACGCTCGGAGCATGTTCATTTGTACCTGACTAGCACAATTCCAAGCATAGTGAAACACCACGTCGGGAGACCAGAGCGCAACAATAAATGCGAGGTTTCGTAGACGGTTGTTTTCATTGTATGCCCGTTTTCGCTTCTTTTTGGTAGCCTCTTCACGCTTGTTTCTGTCTGCCAGGTGGGATAAAGCCAGCAGCTCTTTCCACTCTGGTTCTCTATTTGCCTGTGATCGACGCGAAGAAACGATCCTGGCCACAGAGCAAAACGTGGAGATGCGTGTGTCGAGGTGGTCACACTGGTCAACAAGGCCGTCGCGAATGCTTGAGAATGTCGAGATGGGCGCGTTGCTAGCCCATGCTTGATACAGCTCCTCGAGCCACGCTCGAGTCTCCTGATCAAACCCAAGGCTGGTGTCATGACCAGGCTGAAGCTCCCAACCCCTATTCAACCCCTGTCAGCGTTTTTGTGAGCACGGGCCGTGGCCGCAGCAACTGGAACTTACTTTGACGGTGGGCCGTGCACCATCCCCTTGATAGGTATGAATTTCGATGAGATTTTGCGGCGTTGCTGTAGGGCTGGGCATAAAGGCGTACGGGAAGCCCTTGGAGGAAGCTGAGAGCCTGTTGAGGGTATGGGTGTAGCCCTTGGAGGAAGGAGGTCCGACATCTCAAGCAGAAGAAGGGTGGGTGACAATTGTTCATGTATGCCTCGATGTAACTTGGCGTACTTTTTGCCTCAAGTCCTCCACTTCGGACAATCCCTCCCTCCCTGTTATTATGGCGTCATGTTGATGTTCTGTTTGGTGTGTTCTGGCAATGGGAATCCTTCACATTGCTGTCAACAAGAAGGCAACATTGTGAGAGTACATGTCAAACAGCATAACCCACGCTCCCATCTGACCAGTAAGGAAGCAGAGGGACAAAATATGAGGTAATGAAAACTGATGCATGTAAGCCGGATACACGGAGCCCATCATGCAGAGGCCTTGATGGAGGTACTTTCAAGGCTGAAGCCTGCCAAAATGCCAGGACAAATTGTACTATACGCTGCTGTGTAACTCATGGTACGGATGATCCGCGAAAGACATGGGGTAGGCCCATGCATCATTGAGACGCTGAGCGTGGTGCCTGTGAAGATGCCAAGAGCTAGATGCGGTTTATTAGGTGGGTTTGGGGGCTGTGGGGCGGGCCGTCTGAGGCGCGTGGCTGCTGAACCGTTGGTGTCTCTGTTTCCCACCTCCAACCACTCACATCCGAGACGGACTCACATGTTCGCAGTTGGGCCTCACCAACGGCTTCGAATTCAGCGGGCCCCGGAGTTGAAAACCCTATGGGGCTCTCGGCGCTGTCCCGTGTTTCGGTCTGCGTGTCTTCCTTGGTTCTTTGAGCTCCGCGCCGCAACGGTGAATGAGAAATGGGGCAAACATTCCCTACAGTACACCGACTCGATCCTGCCTCGTGGCACCTGCCTCTAAGGTAGAAACATCCGCTCTACTATGCCTCCAAGGGATATGACTAGCTCCAACGCGACTGCTGACTGGAAGCTGGAACGAGATCCGGGCCCCGATTTGCCCGATGACACACCAAAGCTGAAAGGGGCATCGGTTTAAAATGGACCTGTTCTTTGACGAACCTGTCGTGCTGGATGGCGAAATTGAATGCAAATGCACCTGCATCTCCTATTCTCCAACCTGCGCTGCAACACAACCGCATCTTGCCATCAAATCGACCTCACTCCCTCACCGCCGGCTGATTGACGACAACCAGCATCTAGAGATATGCAGCCTTGAGAAGCCAGCGACCACTCACGTCCTTGCCCGCATCGCACAACATGGCGACCAAAACGACCACCGTGACCGAGTTGCACACCATCTCGTTCGACCCCTCCACCACAAACTCGGGCGCGACTTCACGGAAAAGCCAGAGCCGCGATGCAACAGTCGTGGCTTCTGATTCAGAACCAGAGGCGTCTCCCATCTCGGCCAAGTCAAGGCCGGCTCTGCTGCCCAAAGGCCGCGCCATCATCGTGACCACCCAGCTTTGTGGCCTGCTGTTCTTCAGCAGCTTCTGCAATGGCATCATCGTCATCGCTCTACCTGCCATGCACTCGGAGCTGGGTCTACAGGAGAGCCTCCTGGTTTGGCCCACCTCGAGTTACTATCTCACGGCCGGTTCCTGTTTGTTGCTGGCCGGCTCCATCGCCGATGTTGTCGGTGTGAAAAAGGTCAACCTCGTTGGCTCTTTCCTCAGTTCCATCTTTGCTCTGGCCTGCGGTCTGGCACAAACTGAAGGTCAAATAATAGCATTCCGGGCCCTTCAGGGCATCACAAACGCCATCATTGCCCCCTCAGCGATATCCATCATCTCCAATAGCGTGGCCGAGGGCCGGCCGCGGAACATGGGGTTTGCATGCCTCGGATTCAGCCAGCCGCTCGGGTTCAGTCTTGGCTTGGTGCTCACGGGGGTCATGACAGACACGGTGGGGTGGCGGCCAGCCTTCTACCTTGTAGCCGCCTGCAGCATAGTTTTGTTTACCATTGGGATATGGTCACTTCCGCAAGACATTCACTCATCGGGTAGCCAATCCGTTCTGAGGCGGCTCGGAGGTGAGATCGACTGGATCGGAGTAGGCTTGGCCAGCATGGGGCTGGCCCTGTTTTCATACGTTTTAGCGTAAGCATCAACACCTGTGAAACATTCGGCGGGCCTGCATAAGCTAATTGAGTGATGCTTCTAGATCCCTGTCGGCCAACATCCAGGACATTCGTCAGGCTGGCACCATCGTTTTGCTCGTAATTTCTGTCTTTTCTGTTCCATCCTTTGTGGGGTGGATGCACTACCAGACCAAGAAGAACCGCACAGCACTGATCCCGAACTCTCTCTGGCGAAGCGGTGTGTTTACGAGCGCCTGCGTCATGGTTATGCTGACCAACGCTTTGATCAACTGCATGGAGTTGTATAGCAGTCTATTGTAAGCCTGTTTCCGAAGCTTCAAGGTCCATGTCTAACGCGTTGTCTCCTTAACTTAGCTTCCAAACCATTCAGGGACAGTCTGCTCTGACGGCGTCCCTTCAAGTGCTTCCCTCTTTGGTAGCCGGGATTATCACCAGCATTCTCACGGGCATATTTGTCAACCGCATGCCTGTATTCTGGACCGTCCTCATCACTACAATCGTCAGCACTGTCTCGGCCTTGTTGATGGCCCTGGTCCGTACCGACCAAGTATATTGGGAGAACGCCTTTGTTGCGCAGATCCTCTCACCCATCAGCTGTGACCTTCTCTTTACAGTTGGCCTCCTGATCATTTCGGATGTTTTCCCGAAGCACATGCAGGCTTTAGGCGGCGCAGTGTTCAACACGTGTGCTCAGCTTGGGGTCGCCATTGGGCTAAGTGTGACGCAGGTCGTTGCCTCATCGGTCACAAACAACTCGCAATATGACAACAAATCATCCCCCGAAGCCCTTATGGAGGGATATAGGTTAGCTTTTTGGATCATGTTTGGTTGGATGGTGTTTGTTTGTGGGGTATGCGCTGTTGGATTGAGACGAGTGGGTGCAATTGGTGTCAAGCGTGACTGATGCAGTGTTGGGTTGTCCGATGATTGGTGTTCAAGCTTGTTCAATGGGTAGACTGATAGATTGGTAGACGGACGGGCCTATAGATACAGCATTCTTCGGTTGGAATTTAGGCACAATAGATAGGTACATACTTTGCAGAATCGAGTCTAACGCAGACGTATGTGCCCGTGAAAGAGAGTTGGGTTGTAGCTGTATCAACCGGACTCGCCCTCGGATTTGAGCCAACTTTGCATATATATATGCCGACCAAGGGACATCCCGCGGCGATTTCCCACTCGGGAATTTCCCCTACCTGGAATGATATGCATGACGGATGTCATGCAGACTGGATGCATCCATGATTCTCCCCGATTGGAAGAATGCGACGGGCGAGTAGGAACAGTGCCGCTTGATGACTTCGGCACAACTAGCCTCCGACTATGCAATATATGTACTGCTAAGAGGCTCAGATGGTCTACCTGGTATGCAGTGACTTTTTGCTCTTCTTATTAGCCACATGGGTAGGAATTCATGCCGGGTGGGGCGGGGGTCGCTCTCCTCCCTACTTTTACGTTCATCTCGTATCCGTAAACAACACTTGAACCAAATCACTTGCAGGTCGATCAGCTCGACTCATCAGTTGTGCAGCGAAGGGCAGATTGTATATGCATTGGTTCCATACCTGGTATGGAGGGGTAACCTCGTCGAATGTCTATTGCTTTCCAGTACACTCGTCTCCATGCCAGGATTGGTATTTCCCACCCGTAGAGATAGCAAATGCTTCGGACTTTGAAACATTTGAACGACGTACCATTTTCGTTGTGTCGATAACTTGGTAGATACTATCACTTCTGTGTCTGCGAGTTGACAGAAAATCGCATTGACAACGTGGAACTTTCTTGATCCTCCGCTGTGCAGTATCGTGCTCACAACATTCCAACTAAATCGAAATCAATGTCACACAGCTTACTGTTCCTAAGAATAGTCCTGGTCGACAGTACGATGCTATCAGTGACCCAGGGCAACTATAAATCAGCATCCGATAGAGCTGAAAGGTTGATGCGGGTTTTTGCTGATACTTTGTCCCAACCGTAACAAAAAAGTAATCTGTGTCGGGGTATTTAAGAGACTGGATGATTGATGCGGCATCAGCTTCTATTGGACTGAGTGGAAGTCTGGCTTTTGATGCCAGGTCGGCCGTGGTGTTCTATCATTCTACCATCAGCCCGCCCGACTCCCGGTGTTTCAGAGGATGAAGCGGTGGGTGGTAGATTCCCATGTGTGGACTTTTGGTTCTGGCTGGGTTGTTTTGAAGTTAGAGTCTCACCGTTGATGCATGTAACGTGCGTGATAAGCGAGCCGAACAGACAAGCGAGCCGAACACTTTCTAACGCAGCGTAACCCTCCGACTTCTTTTACCAACTTTACTACTAATTCGCTATGAATTCACTTCCAACCGAATCTCGAATTATTTTAGCCCTCGAAGCTATCAAAAACGACCCAAATCTTAATCTTCGACGCGCAGCTAAGCTTTATAACGTACTAATTATAACTCTTTATAACCGACGCGCTGGCCGGCTTATACGACGCGATATACTAACTAACTTACGTAAGCTTACCGCTTTAGAAAAGAAAATAATTATTTAATATATTATTAAGCTATATATATATATATTTTATCTTCGGCTTTTATATATAAAAAATATAATTAATTGATTATTATACGAACGCGACGTGCCTCCTATTAGTATACAATAGACTTATAATTTTATTAAATATTAATTAGAATTTCAGACGCGTTTTATACGTAAATATAATTATTAAAGGGCTAAATATAAGGATTTAAAGGTTATTAATAAGTAATTTATTTTTATACGGAATATTAAAATTAAATATAATATTATAAATAATAATATTTATAATTTTAATAAAATTAAATTTATAATAAATATTATCTTTATGAATATAATAATTATAATTTTTAATAATTATAATAAAATAAAATTAATTTAATTTAATAACCGTAAATAAATAATAGTAATTTACAAAATTAATATTTTCGGTTAATTTATTTTTTATTATTATTTAAATTATATAATATTATTTAATTAATTAATATATTAAATATAATTTATTATTTACTTAATATATTATAATTATTAATAATAATTAAATTATTAATATAATAAATTTAAATTAAATTAAGTATTTTAATTATTATATAGCGTCCTATATAAAAAATAAATATCGATTATTAATCTTTAACGGTTATAAAAGTTATTACTTAATTAAATTTAAACATTATTATTAATAAAATAATATTATTACGCTTTATATACTTTTATATTCCTTTTACTTCCTTTAATTATTTAATATTAATAATTATTTTAAATTATTAAAATAAATATATAATCGTTAAATTAAAAACTTAATAAATATATATATTCATTATATAAATAAATTTAAATTCCTTTATACTTTCTATAAAGCTTTTTTCGCTTTTATAATAAAAAAAAATATATGAAAGTAGTTTTATAGATATTAATTTTATACTATACGATTTAAAAAAGAAAAATTTTTAAATTAAATATAAAGCTTCGTACGTTAATACTTTTAAACTTACGGCCCCGGCATTATATAATTTTAAGTCTCCTAAATACTATATAACCTTTAAAAAACTAATTTATAATTAATATTTATTAAAATTTATATTATTAACTATTAAAATAGCTTTTTAACTTTAATATTAATTACTATAAATTAACTTACTAAAAGTATAATAACTATAATATACTAAATAGTTTTCCTTCGTATAAAGAATATTATATTCTATAAAGCTAACGAGGTACTAAGTAGGCGCCGGAAAACTAAAAAAATACGTATGTAGCTTGGAGGGTCACTTACTGTACAAGAGGCACAGGATCTACTAGATCAGAAGGCTATAGGTAAGTAAGTAATTTAGGAAGATCGATAAAGTGGTGGTGGTGCAAGGGGGTCTCGTCCGAAGATTCAGTGCTGTAGCGTGTGCGGTAAGCCAGACTATAATACACGCACCTGTAAGGAGGCTGCAGAATCATCTGATTCATCTATTTCTGGTTTAATTATTGTGGTTTCCTAGTATTGTGGTTATGTAATTGAAGATAGTTGTAGTGGGGTGGTGGAAAGTGTTCGGCTCGCTTGTCTATTCGGCTCGCTTATCATGCACGTTAGGTAGTTCAGCTCTTGTTGGGCAATCTTCAAGCTATTACTTAAGTTCAGATTGTGTTAGATGATGACGTTGCCATGGTATCCTTTTTGAGAGAATGGACTTGCGGTTGCTTTGGAGTGGCCATGAGTGAAACGCCTGTTTAGGTACCCCTGAGTTGGTTATATGCGATGTGCAGGCTTAGGTTGGCTGAAGAGTGTATATGCGATGCAGGGCTCGTGGTGCCTTTGCAATCATAGAGGTCAAGGTAATGGCTTCCATCTTTAAAGATCGAGGTGAAAATTCCCAGCAATGAACGCTACACAAGTTTCCATTCCTTATGACCCATGGTATATAACAAGACAAATTCCCAGTCCAGTGACTTGCGCCAGTATGTCCGTCTCATAACCCAGCTTCTATCCCTACCAGTAACAGAATAAACAAAAAGAGTGTACATGTACCATCCAATACCTATACCGTCTGTTGCAACCTGCCGACCATGAACTGATCCAAAAACAGCAAGCTCTGGTCCATATCCTCCTTGAGCAGCGACTTGCCCGCTGTCATGGGCAATCTCTCGGGTGCGGGCTGTGTGAGATACACCTTGGCTCTGGTACGGTGCGCAGATCGAAAGACCTATCTTCTGTTAGTAAACAAATCAACATAGGTACCAGGTATGTATCAGTATCAGAAGCTTTACCCTCAGCCTTTTGACAATATCCTCGAACTCCTTCTTGATCTTTCCATCAAGCCCCTCATCCGCCAACTGGCCCCTAAAGGCATGCTTCTTGACCACTTTGCAGAATCTTCTCTGCAAGAGAGGGACATTTCTTTCCTGGATCAGCCTGGGCAGGTACGCCTCCAATCCCAAAAACGCATCCAGGGCTTGGAACAGCAAGACCTGATTTCCACTCAGCCCATCAAACTTCTCCCACTCTCCATTGGTGATATTCTGGTGTCCCATGCCCCAGGCATAAAACCCTTGAACGCGGCTCAGCCACACTGATCTCGCAATCTTGGCGTCGTGAACTCGGTCGTAATAGCTGCTTAGCAAAGGGCGTAGCTGGCCTTTGATGTCACGGACATGTTCGAGACAAGACTCCTTGTCACCCCGGGCGTATGCCAGGATACTTTCGACAATGGAGCAGTAGATTGGTACACCTAGCACTTCGACCTCCTGAAAGATGCGGGCGAATTCCTCCTCTGAGGACTGAATAAGAGTCGAGAGGCCGGTATTGATCTTGAGGGCGTAGCCTCCAGCTGGGTTGAAGTTGAGAACCAGGTTAGACATGTTGTTTCCGGATTCGGAATCGAGACCAAAGTGTGACTGCATGGAGTTCCAGGGCATGACGAGTTCCATGGGGAGGGCAATGGACTTTTCAAGTTGGGCGAGGCGGACTACTGGGATGCTTGCCCATCTGATTTTGTTAGCCACATGGATATTTTTGTGAACCCAGTCCAGACATGGACGACATAGGACGCTTACCTATAAGCATGTCTACACCAAGCCACACAGCAGTAGAACCCATTGTAAGCATCCCTGGGGAAGACATCCCATCTTCCAGCATCGGCCGCGTGCAGCAGTCTCTGAACTTCAGCCAGGTCAACCTTTTGACTCAAAAGCTGAACGAAGCGTGTCCTGAACTCGAATATGCGCCTTTCGTTGATGTTGTCGTCAAGAGATGCATTCTCCGCTGGTAGGAGGGGAGCCATCTCATGGTAGATGTCTTTGTATGCCTGGAGGCATGCGGGCCATGTCTTTTCATTGTGATTGGATCTCGGAGGCCAGCAACCAGCTCCATCCTGCTGAACAAGGGTGGAGAATGATGAGGCGACCTCGTGGCAGTCAGACAGGTCGTGGATGATGTCGAGCTTCTGTTTATTGAAGGCGCATGTTGAATTGTGGGTGTTCGTCGAATCTGAAAAGACTATGCCGGATCGAGTGAATCCTTTGAAAAGATTGAAGGACGGAATGGTGTACTGAGACAGGCGCTTCATGAGCCATGGCCTCCATGGCGTAGACACTATGAGCGTAAAGATGCTCCCAAGAACGGAGAGGAAGATGAACTCTGAGAGAGGAGTCATGGCCAACTCCAGAGTCCTTAAACGGTCGATAGGACTTGCAGGGTAGAAGGTGGTAGAGTCTGTGTAACTGGTCTAGTTACCAAGTAATTCGAAATAGATAAAGAGGTAGATGCGGAGGTAGACGATCAGCATCAACAGCAGTCGAGGGATTTTATATACAACAACCGACAACAGTCCTAAGGATACCAATACCCCCTCCCGGGTTCGGAACGGGCGTAAACTGCAGAAAGCCAGGGCTGAACGAATCACCTACAGGCCACTTACAGAGTGCCACTTTTCAGGCCTTGAACAATACCTTGATTACGCTTGTTTGTTCCTCGAGCGCTTGGATACCGCCAGTACCGGTGACATGGTTGGTGTGGGCACCATCGTCACTATGGATCAGGGCTTACCGAGCATATAGTATGTCTCTTCAGGGTATTCCGGATCCCGGATACCTTGCCTGACCTTTAGAACATGGTCCGCAACCTCACCCATGCCCACCCATGAGTCCCGGCAGCTTGGGTGGATATCTCACCAAAATCAAACCACACCCTCCCACGCCAACACACCGGGACGCCCATGTCGGTAAGTCGCCGACCTTGGGCTCCCACTTGGAAACATCAAGGGGTCCTGGGCAGGTGGAGAGGACGGCTCTTGTGACACTCGGGAAGGATGCTCAGTCCATTTCGACCCAATGATAGGAGTGACAAGACCACTTTCCCCTCCCAGCCGAGTGGTCAACCGTCTTTCCTCCTTGGGATGTTCCCATGTGAATTCCCGTGACCTGAATTTGGGCTTCTACTGGAGTGGAGTGGAGTGGTAGCCGAGACGAAAGAGGGCCCCCCGTTGACGACTGGAGACGCTAGGAAGGGGAATAAAAAGGCGCTTCTTGATGCCTAACAGCTCAACGGTGCCGGTCACCGAGTAGACAGCATACCCTGGCCACAACGTTGAGGATTTCCGCGTTCTTGGGTCTTCCAGGGTGGCTTGCTTGCTTTGTCTGGGTGGTGGCTGTTTCTACCGATTCCGACTTTTGCCCGTGCAGATTCCGCTAGACTGAGTGAGGCCCCAGCGTCAGTAATCGTACACGTGTTGCCCACATCTCGACTCCCTGACAGCTTGTACCGTGGACTCGCACAGACCAATCGGCCAGCTTGAAAGGCAAGAATTGGTCTGTGAGACCCCCAAATCCAAGCCGGCACGTCCCACGGTTCACGGTGCGTGCCGCGGAAACTGCCAGTCGGGGCATTGTAGGTACCCTCTTGGATCAAGACACATCAATATTAAGGCACGTTGCCATGTCTCGATTCAAGACCCAGCGGTGGAAACAACGCACAGCGGTGGCTTGCTCGCCCATTTCGAGCTAGAAATTGCCAATGGCTTCAGAACATTCTGCGCTCAGCCCTTTTTCGCTGCCTTGCCTGCTGTCTGTTCCTGCTAGCATGACATGTGCTGCAGGAACCAAACAACGAGCGCTGTCCATGCTCAACCGTGCAGGCATCCATCAGAAGCTATCCCTGCGGTACTGAAGAGTTTTCAGCCACAATGCCCTACTGAGAGCAAGCTGACGTCGGTCAGGGACGTCTGAGTTGGCCGGGCCCAGCCTACATGCACATACTATGTCATCCTCCAACAGTGGGAATGCCAACCGGCATCGAACATGGCACGATTTGTGCAAGATCCAGAGATGTGCGAGACTCGAACCCGACTTTACTGACTGAGGGTTGAGATGACTGGCTGTCATGCTCTTGCCGAATCACCGTCACACAACTTGAAAACAGCTTGACAGGTGAATCGAGTGATTCTTAAAGAAGACCTGATGTTTAAGGGGAAAACAATCGCAGCATAAATCTGTCCATCGCCATAAAACAATTGTTCAGCCATAGACACTTATCCAGATGGGGATACGATCTGCTTCAGCAGAAAAATGGAAGCGAGACACGACCCCTGAAGAAAACACCAAAGCTGAATTTCCATGCCAAGACACGGCACGCGATCCTTGGCTTCCCGACCCCAACCAAGAACAACGCCAATCGGCACTGCTCTTAACGCGGTGCTACACGCGGGAAAGAATAAAAAACCACCCCCCATGTACCAGCGCGGCGAGCAATCGATCAGTGACATTGTCGCTGGGCCAATGTCTCGGCGGGACTGCCAGAAAGCCCAGTCAGAGAAGAGCAAGCGAGGGCTAGTGGCGAATGATGCTGCAGACACCAAGGGGCTACTCGGCCATCTGGGAGCGACCACATGCAAGTGCTGTCCAGTCAAAATCCTCAGCACAAAGCGGGCCTCTGGGGGCCATTCACAGGATGCGGGAGATCGCCCAAGACCATTGGTACCATTGGTTCAGTCTCTGACAGATCTAAATCGTGCTGTTGGGCGGCACGCTCTCGTCCCCCTAAACCGATTCGAACACAAGCCTCTCGCAAATACCGGTCTTCCATTTCTCCTGGAGGCGATATGCTGCAGAACCAGCTGTAACAGGCAACTATCGTTGTTGAGCACCGCAAATAATCTATGTGACTACAGCACTAACACCACACTAATACTCGAACAAATAGTCTGGGCCGGAGGCTTGCTAAACATTGGATGGAAAGCTAATCTTCATCACAGCCATGGGGAAAAAGCAAATACCAATGGCACAAAGAAGATGGACAGAAAACAAGCAGCCTTTCCTCACTCCTCGCCGCCGGTGGGCTTTTCCTCTCCACTGTTTGCTCACACGGCTGTGGAAGCAGAGGTGTCACGCGGGGAGGCCTTCTTTTGATCACCACCAATCCTTCAACTTCCACCCTTATTTTCGGCCTTGAATACTGGAGAACTTTTACTCCCTCGTGCTCACTTCTGCCGCTCCTTGGCGTGACAAAATCCGCATTCCACTCGTTTTATCCATTTTCTAGCGCTCACACAAGACCATGTCGAACTCGGGAGCGTGGGGCGAGGCGCCGCCCGGCGTGAACCTGGCGGAAAATCAGAACGGGGATATTATCGGCTCAGTCGTCGGCATCATGGTCCTCGGGCTCAGCTCCGTCGTTTTGCGGCTTTTTACACGGCTGATAAACAAGGGGCCGGGTCTGGCTGCCGACGACTATGTTATTCTTTTTGCAGCGGTGAGTACTTGAAAACGAAGAGGACGCCGTGGGGAGCAAGGACAGGCTTTGCTGACCGGCTCACCGTAAATCCAGGTTATGGGCATTGGAACGGCGGTGTGTTGCCTCATCAGTGTTCCCTGGGGTGGCGGAAAGCATCTTTGGGTGGTCACCCATGAGGAGTTCACCAAGCTGTACCAAACCACCTACGCCTTCGTCATCGTTTACATCACCTGCATCTCGGCGACCAAAGTCTCCATCTTGCTATTTTACCGCCGTGTGTTTGGGACAAACGTGATTTGGTACATCGTCTTTGGCTTCACCTGTGCCCATTGGGCAGAAGTGACCATCACATGGCTCGCAGGGTGCAGGCCCATCGACTACTACTGGCGTCAGTATACCGACCCAACGGCCACGGGATCATGTATCGACGCACCGTTGTTTTACTTTTGCAACGGCATCATCGGATTGGTGATTGATGTGGCCATTCTTTTGGTGCCGATTCCCACAGGTATGTTCCCATTGTTTCCACTCGCCCGGTGACTCTCACATGGATCTCAGCTTGGCTCTCCGGAAGTCCTGACACGGTATCCCATGCTAACCACCAAAACCCATCACAGTTTGGAAGCTCAACATGCCCACCACCAAAAAGGTGTTTGTAGGCGGAATCCTTCTCCTCGGCGGCTTGTGCGTGAATTTCTGTCTTCACCCCCTCCCCATGCCCCTGTTCCGGCCACCCTTCGGTATCCGTGCTGTGTCTCGGTCACGCCGACCCCTTCCCCTCAGCTTGACTGTAACCTTGTTTGACCTTGCCACTGATGCCTTACCATAGTGTGTGCGTGGCCTCGGCCATCCGAATCGTCATGATGGACCAGCTCGTCAAGTCCCCAGACTTCACGTGGGCCATGTCCAAAGTCTTCATCTGGTCCTGCTGCGAGCCATTCATCGGCATTGTCTGCGCTTGCCTCCCCACCTATGCACCCTTGGTCAGACGCTGGTGGAAGGGTGAGCTGTCGGGATACCCGGACACGCCCAAAGTGTACATGTCGGATAAGCCCAGTCCGTCCAAGGCTGGCCACAAGATCAGCGGTAGGAAGCACCACGGGGGGCTGGATGCAACTCTGCGAGGGGACGACGAAATCGAGCTGACGGTGGACATCTCGGGCGAGCCGGGGCATCATCTACCGGGACACCAGCGACAGGGTGACTCGAGAGACTCGTCAAAGACCTGTGTAAACGGGAAGGGCAGTCCAGAGGACTCATATCAGAATGAGATCATGGTGAGGAAGGATTTTTCATGGAGCAGCAGTGTCTAAGGCTAGGCACAGTTGAGGAGTTTGAAAGGGTGGAATGGATAATGGGAGGAGGGACCGGCGTTCTTTAATGGAGGAGGTTTTTCTTGACACTTTTTCACTTCGGCGTACACAAAGTTAGACATGGCCACTACAGGCCTCTCATCAAGCAGAGCATTCAACACAGCCATTCTCTTCTACAAAGTTCGGTGTGATCCCATATTCAGCAGGCTCCGGGAAGCCACACGGGCCATCCGAGTGGTTGAGAGTAGAGCTTCAACCGCTGACCAGTGCTAGCCAGGATCACATGTCGCGGTCAACTGAGCAAGGGTGTCCTTTGAGGCTCAAGTCCTGTGACACACGGTAGATGCAGGATTCATGACGTAAACAAAAAGAACAGACTGCTTCATTTCGTTTTCTATCCTCGACCGTTCATTCCCAAGAGATCGTCTTTTACCAACTCCACGATATTCTAAATCATGACTTCAAAATTTGGCTTGTCCTTTGCTCCCTGAAACCACTCCCAGGTCTTGGCCGCGATGCGAGTCGGATTTCTCACTTCGTCCTCCGGTGCAACCTGACCAGCAACGTTGATCACACCAATATGCACGCCCTCGGGTGTATACGACAGATTCAAGCTTTGCACAAGATTCCTCTGAGCGGCCTTGACCAAGGACAGGTTGAAGAGCTGAGGGATTGGGTGATGCGGCAGGGCAGAGCTCGTCACGATGAGCGCAGGCCGGCTTGAAGTACCCGCTTTGGCCAGCGACACAAGGTGTGGTATATACCGCTGTGAGACAATGTACAGAGCGCTGACATTGATCTTGGGAGCCGTTAGCAACTTGCCATTACCGTTCCCGCGCAGCGCGACTCACCTTGAAGTCGTACTCGACATCCTCGACGGGATGGGTCAATAGCGCCGATGGGAGAACACGAGCGGCGTTGTAAAACACCACGTCAGGTTTGCCAAAGGCGGCATCGGCGTCGTCGAGTGCTTGGAGGAGGGAGTGCGTGTGTGTGACATCGACCGCGTATGTCCTAACATTTATCTGGCTGCTGACAGTGTTCAGGACGGCTTTTTTCTCTTCTTCGAGTTGCTCGGCGCGTCTGGCAATCAAGACCACATTGTTGTACCGCTTCGAGGCAAACAGCGTGGCCACCGACCGGCCAATACCAGGCCCAGAGCCAAGCACGAGGAGAGTTCTGCCAGGAGACATGTCGACCGTGTTGTGGGTGGTTGAAGAAGAATGATAATACAAATTGGGAGGATCGATGTCTCAAGAGAAACCATATAAGTACCTACCGGGTCCAAGAGGCTCCTGAAGATCGGTATTTGAGGGACTGAAATTGTGCATCATGATTGCTTCTTCCTCCCAAAATGGGCTAGGTGACCAAGGTCGCTGCGGATGAGGGGCTCGGCGACTCCAGGCCTTTCCCTTTTGGTTTGCTGCAAGCGCCTTCAGATGTGAGCTTCACCACGTCGTTGGCTCAATGCTGCATGACCCTGCATGCATACAATCTCCCGATACGGTCTCAGCTCGCAACCAGCTTGACCGCTATCCGACTCTGCGTTCCTGGAACACACTGTGCCGTCTGCACCGAACGCTGCCCGGCCAGCGTCGCGGACGCCGAGAAACGGCCCTCACATCCATTCCACATGGTCCCGAGACAGGCCCAGATCTCCACATGAAATTTGGGAGAGCGCAAGACGGGACTGTTTACATACTAACACTCTTCCTCGCCAGCAGAATGATAATGCAAACCTCTAGTCTCTTCGGGCACTCCCGAGCTCAGCTCCATGCTTGGTTTGGTGACAAACATCAGTGCCCCGATAGCAACAGCGACAAGACTAGCGACATAAAACCACGGCAGCCCGATCCAGAATCCCGACTTTTTCATGCCTACATTGAAGCACCAAGCTAGTACTGGTCCGCCTATCAGCGCGCCGCCAGTCTCGAGCATGCTAATCACGGCGTACAGCCTCGACGTGTGCTGGGGGTCAACATAAGCCGTCGAAATAGCCCGGCCAAGTGGCGCGCTGCCCGACCCAAGGGTATGAATGGTCAGGCCAATGAGGAACACTGCTATTCCTGTGCTGAACCCCTGGACGAGAGCTCCTGTCGCCATGAGAGCCAGTGACACCCTTGTCAGCACGAGATCCTTTGTGAAGATGGAAACCCCATATCTGCCCGTCGGATCGGTAATCAGCTTTCCTACACGAGGCAGCACAACCAGGACAACCAAGTGAAGGATGCCCAGTGGGGGCGTAAGCAGGTAACTGGTCTCGGCCAGCGTCCAGCCAAAGTATTTACTGACATGCTGGGCAAGGGTTGTCGAATATGCAGCAAAGATGGCAGGCTGTATGAGGAAGAGTGCCAAAGAGCTCAACAGCTGCCTATTCTTCAGCAGGGACAAAGAAACCCCAAACTCGTTCATCGCGTGTCGGAGCTTTTTCGGGAGTGACTGTCGTCCTCGCTGTGCCGCTTCTTTCAGCTGGACGGGCAAGGTTTCGGGAAGGAAGAGCAAGGCGCCGAAGATGAAGGGAGTGAGAGCAAAGACGAGGGCAATGGGACACCAAGGACCGATGGTTTGCATGAGAATTCCGGCCAGGAACGGGCCTACCAAGGTTCCTGACACAGCGCCAAAGGAAAGATATAAGAAGCCAGTAGCTCTGAAGGTCGGTCAGTGGCAGGCAGAACATGGGCTTGGGATCTACTCACCTATCACTTTCTGTACTGACGTCGGATGCCATTGCATTGAGCGAGTTCATGGCGACGGGGACGCCTCCGCCGATTAGAAAGAACAGACAGCCCATCACAACGAGGTACATGTTGGGTGCCACCCCAAAAAACAATAAGAGTGGCCCCCATCCAAATCCAATGACGATGCCAACATAGGCGAGGGCAAATGTAGGCTTACGGCCAATTCTAGATTCATGTTGTTAAATTGAGTAGTCAAGACATCTCTGATCAGGCTGCGTACCGATCGGCGAGAACACCATATGGCAAAGCCGCCACAACACCAACCAGCGAATTGATCATGGCTGAGATACCACCAAGCAAAGCAAGCTCCTTCTGCACGCCGTCGACTTTGCACATGTGCTCGTCGATAGGCTCGGAAGGGTCTTTGTCGTAATAAAGATGGCAAAAAGCATCTTCGAGAAGACGGAACATCGGAATCATGTACATCATGCCGCTGGTGACAATGGCAAACGTGAGCAGGGAGAGCAGCAAGATGATGCTACCGGAGCTTTGGACCTGGAAACGCGCTATGATTCTGTGCCATTGTGGGGGCTGCTGTTCTGGCTTTGAGCGTGTGTGTTGATGGTAGATAGCATCGGCTGCCTGCTCATCTTCAAGACTCAGCAAGGGCTCTGCTTCGATGAACTCGGGATTGGTGCTGCTAATGGTCGGCATGGCGTTTTGTGGTGTTTACCCGCGCAACTTGACAGGCCATAACAAAGCAGGAATTGTAAGTAGAGCAAATCAACAAAAGTCCTTCTGAAAAAGCCGTCATAAATATGGAAGACGACGTTGCCAATTCCACTCCTGAACAAGCTGACGAGGCAATCAAGCTAATCTTCATGGGTCAGGGCTGGTTAAACGCAATATGCGGGATACGAAACACGATGCCAAGCCGCCTGAGGTCTTAACATGCTCTCTTACAATAGAATTGTCCAACTGTTAGGGCACTTCAGCCCTCTAATCTTGGCTGTCTTGGCGGCCACCAGCTCCGCCATGGGCCCACATGCCATGATCACAGGGTGGGTGGGGTTGACGGGAGCTGATGATCCTTGGGATGGAATCAACCGTCTGAGCCTCAAGAGCTCGACCTGTGAGGGTTCTGTGCCTCCCGCCGGGCGCGTGTTGGTGTCATGCTCGACGTGTCTTGTCTATATGACTGGTCATTATTCCTGCCCGATCCAAGCGTCCCACCGCCCGACAGGCAGCTGTGAGATGGCTGTTGCATGTGGCTATGAAGGGCTGCTGGCTGACCACCCTTCGCGGCGCACAGTCTGCCTGCTTTAAAGCCGTCTTTCTTGCTGTTCATTTTTGCCATCTAAAACCTGTCTCATGCAGCTGGCAAAACCTCAACAGGAACCATGTACTCCGAATCCAAAGACCGCGTTGCGCATCGCGGAAACTCGCCGTTTGTCCTCGGCGCTATGTCGTCGGCCCTCGTTGAGACCAACAATGAAACGCAGGTTCGACCATACACACCCGCAGGGCAGGCAGCGAACAGATATGCCACGCCAAAGTTCCAGGGTCAAAACACCACCTCTTATTCTGACATGGTCGAATCTCACAACGACGAGCCGCTTCACCAGCGACTCTCCACAGCCCAAGATACTCCCCACGACAAGGGCCCGAAATTTCTCGACTGGGTGCATTTCGAAGAAGCTACTCTTCCTCCGCGAGAAACCGCCCGAAAGTCCCGTCTCGAAAAGATATTCACCCCGCTCAACTCGGTCAAAGCCGAACTCCCTGGCCACGTCAGCATTGAAGGCTTCGGTGGCATCGCCGAGACGACTCACAACCTCTTCCGCTCTGTCAAAAAAGACGATTTCATGCGATCTGAGCGCATCATCCACCTCCCCAAATCGGCCGTCGATAAGGCATCCAAACGGGAGCTTGAAAGACTGGAGAATGAGCTCTTTGACCTGACAAAGTACAACGGGGATAGCTGTGACTACCTAACCGTTGTCACTTGGGCCGAGGAGGGGATGTCGGGCACCGTTACCCTCTTCAGAGTCATTTTCGAGGGCGAAGACGAGATAATTGGGCTCCAGCCTGTAGCGGCGATGCAAAACGTCCCCAACCCTGTGCTGGTGAAAATGAGAACCCACGAGAGGATCCAGAGAAAAGCGGTATTTGTACCAGCTGACAAGGAAGCGGAAACGTTCAAATGGACGGCAACTTCGGCGCATTCGAGGGGGAGAAAGCCGTCTTATGTCAGGCTTGAAGGTGGCAACAGTGACGACCGACGGCCCGTTTCACCTGCATTGAGGGATCTTCGATCATCCAGCCATAGCCGAAGCCGTAGCCGTCATGGTGCGCTGGCGGACGCAGATGGGGTTCGTGCTACAGTACCGCAATTTGTAGCTTTGATGCACGGACATAGAGCCTTGTTGGAGGAAGTCGAGTCGAGCAGCACGAGGCAGGTGACAACAGCAGACGGTGAGGCTCTGCCAGCTGTCACTCTGCTCAAACGCCCACGGTCGAACCCGCACGAGGGAGACAGTGCACATGTGGCTGTTTTGGTTCCAGATCAGGCTGCCTGGGCTGACAGGGAGATGCTCTGGATCGGTGAGGGTATTCTGGAGCTGCGGAAAAGAAAATACTGGGGCCTCATTGAGCGGCCGAGAAGCCGGAGCAGGAATAGAAGCAGAAGCAGGAGCAGAAATAGAAGTCGGGACCAAAGTCAAAGTCGAAGGCCAGAAACCCATTCACGCCATTCCAGTGGGGGTCACGCCCGTCGGCGAAGTCGTAGCCGCAGCCGCAGTCGGAGCCGAAGTCGCTATGGTCACGACTCGAGGAGTCGTAGCAGACACCTTGCACTGGACTCTTTTCTATAGGGGGCGTGCTGTTTAATTTGGTACCCCGTCATCAATGATGTTTCAAAATTGGTCATGACGATAGTTTATTAGACTGTCAGGGCTAAGATCGTAGATCAGTCACCTGATAGGATGCTCAGATCCAGAAAAGCAAACCGAGTATTACTCATTATCATTCATGAACCTCTGGAGCCATCGATTCCGCCCGGTAAAGCTTCTGAATTTCTTGCCAAAGATCCTAAAAGACCAAAGATTAGCATTTGTTCCACAAGGGATAAAGCAGAACTACTTACCATAGTGGGATTGTCAACAAAGTGACAAAGACAAACAGCGCCCCGAGGATACAAAACACAACAAGCGGACCCTGCTGTTGCAGCCACCCATTGACAAAGTAGGTCAAGCCAAATGTCAACAGATTCCTAGTATTGATGGCCACAAATGCCTCTTCGTTCAGTTCACGGTAACTGTCCACAATGTATCCAAACACACAGGTGGCGGCAAACACCAAGCTCATGTTGGCCAGCCCAAAGCACAGCACTGGACCCGACCAATGTGTTTGGTACTCAACAGAGGCGCCAAATCCAAAAAAATCCAACAACTCCCGTTATCAGAGAAACGGCCATGAGAGGGAGACGAAACTCTGGCTCGTAGATTCCCCTGTTTTTCTTGGTGAGGTAGATGCAGATCCAATCGTTAAGAGGACCTGAAATGAGCTCGCCGATGATGGTCAAGATGAACGGGGATAAGCTGATCAGGCCGGTCTGACTGATGGTGAAGTTGTATGGAGGGTTCACAAAAATGACTGCGTTCACGACGGAAAAAACGACAATCCAAGTGATGACAGTTCCTGAATATCGTGAGTGGGGCTGACAACTCAGGGGTTCAGGGGCTCAGGGGCAATCCAAAAGGGCCCACTCACCGTATACTAGGAATCCCCAAAACACAGCTGGATAAAACAACAATACCACAGGTCTCACAAACGGCTTCCACCCCGGAGCTCGAGAGTACCGCCCAGTATAGACCCTCAACGACTCCCAATAAGTATGTTTTCTCTCGGCCGCTTCCAACCTTGCCTGTTCGGTGACATTCGACCCATGTCCTCCCTCAGTAAAAGAAGAAACATGCTGCAACTGGACCTCATGCTCCCTCCCCAGCCTCATCTTCCTCACACTGTCCTCTTCTGTTTCTTCTTTCCCCTTTGCCACAGGCACAGGAACAACCGCGTCCCTCCTATAGGCCGTCTCCGGTACTGCAAAAATAACACCCAACCCCAAAACCCCAAACAGAATCGCGCACACCCCAAACGTCCATTGGTACCCCTCCCGCTCGATTATATACCCAGCCACCAACGCGCCCCCGCTGATTCCCGTCAGCAAAAATAAATTCCACACCGCAATCCTCGTCGCCCGCTCGTGAACAAAGTACAAGTCTCCAATTGTGCACTGTACCAAGACCTCATAAGGTGCCATGCCGATACCCGCAATAATTCTACTTGCCAGAAAGGAGTCGTATTCCTTGACTGCAGCGCCCCAGATGCAAGTAATGAACATGATGAGGATGGCAACGAGGTAGACGGGTCGGCGGCCGATGATTTTGGCTAAGGGGTTGGTGATGAACAACCCGAGGCCTATGCAGAGGATGAGCCAGGCGGTAGACTGGGCGAGGACGTCAAGGGTAATGTCAAGGTTGTGGGCTATTTCGACAAAGCCGGGGGACAGCATGGGGCCGTAGGCTCCGACGACGGCGGCGGAGAGGGAGGTAATTAGGAGGATGAGTTCCTTTCGCCATTGTGGCCACTGGTCCGGTGTGTGTTAGATGAGGGGGAGGAACAGGGCAGAGGAAGCTGGACGTACGTTGAGGGGGTCGTTGGGGCTGTCAGATGGCTGAGGGACGAGAATCACGTTTTTGTAGCGGCCGGTGCCGTGTTTCAGTTGATCTCGTGGTATGTAGGCAAATTCGGGAGGGAGGTCATCTTGGTCAGACATGAAAGCTGTGGGCAATTCCCACGTTAGTTGGCCTAGGTATCCCAGTGGTGGTTTTGGTTTCGCAGAGAATGCTTACCCGTGCCAGGCACGACTTCCATCTTTTTACAGTCCAGTATTCCGAAAGGCATGTTGGCATACAGTACTGCGACTTGTGAAGCCGCAGCTGTAGGGGAAGAGGAAAAGCTGAGCAGTGTAGAGTAGCGGCAAGCAGTTAAAATAGTCCACCCTGTGGTCGAACCTTGGGTCTGAGCGGGGAAGGCACGCGGATATGGGATGGAAACAACAAAATGGACGACGACGACGTGAAGCGCAGACCCGGAAATTCTGAACCGCGCGCCAATCTCCCCACATTGAGGAGACGATCGGTCCCTGAAGGCAGGTTGAAAGCACTCGTCAACACAAACAAATACTCTTTTCCCTTCTCCTGTCCCATCCTAACATCCTGCTATACCTACTTCCCTCCACAGACTTCCCCACACGAAGCACGACCCCGGTGTAACGCTTCATGAATTTGTTACCATGCCCGCTACCTATGCAATAAACATTCGGAAAAATGCAGGTTAAAATCAAAGTCTCGCGGCATCCAAAAGCTCCTAACCATGGCTGACGCTATTCTACACCCCTTGCACCAACGACCCGCCGGCAAAAAAATGATGTCGGTACTCCGTAATCTTTGCTTTGTCCCATCCTGCACAGTTCTCCAACTTGACTCCAGATTAATTACATGCGGGGAACGAAATTGTGTGTGGCAAGCGGCAGTTGGGGTGGTGCCAAGGTGTGGCTTGAAACATGTGTCTGGGTTGGGTAACATTTAGAGCAAATATGGACAGTGCTATGTAGAATCAATGAAGATCTTGGGATAAAGAGGTACAATTTAAGTGCAGCCAGCCATGTGAAAAGTTCTACAGCAATGATTCCTCCAGATGCAAAATACGCAGAGGGCGTGCGTTCCCAATCGATCGACTGCGCACACTCCCACAGCAGCTCGTCGAAGGCAGCTTAAAGTATCCTTTTGGAGAGGAGACGCTCTGGGTATGTGTCGTTTGGCTTTACAGAGTTGAGCTCGTAGCTTAGTGAGCGGGTGAGACAGCAACCGCTGACTGTATCTGGAGAGGAGGTGACAGAGAGGGTACCTCAAACGGGTCGTTTTCGTAAACGTCTTGCATCTTGGCTGCCTCGCGCTCACAGTGAATGCAGTCATTCTGAATGATGCAGAGGACGTCGATCCAATATATTCAAGGACCTTTACTAGGTACTGTGTGAACCCGATAACTTCCCGGATGGTCTTTAGAATGCCATCCCAGCATGTCCATCTAAGCCCGTCCACCTAGGTAGCTTTGGTCGTAGTAAGTGTCTGCGATAAGCCCCAGCAGTAGCTCAGCGCAATATTCGGTCGAAGCTGGCTGTTGTGTCTCAAACCCAACTTCGATCACCCGAGTACTAGATACCTAGGTAACGGAGCAAGAGTGTTCATTCCGCACTCGGTATGCAGTGATGCCGGATTTGATGGGGTTAGCTAAATGAGACAGTTCTGCGGCTTTTCACGCTGTTAGTGAGGAAAATATCATCAAACCCATAATAGGCTCATCTCCAATCGTTTTGAATATCTCTATGTAATAATACCTGTGGTCACCATCGAACTGGTACTGTATCGCCAAATGAGTCATCCCCAGACCACGACGTAACCGTTGTCGCCGATTTTAAGGAATTCTCCGTCAAATGCCTCCAGTGGCTCGATGATAACCCAGTCTTAATCGCTGCATACCACGGCTGTCTCGCAGAGCTGGTCAAGGTAGGTGTGAAGGGTCAAAGTCGTCTGGCGTTGTGATGGCACGTCGAGCCATTCGCCATCCTCGTCGGCACATGGTGGATCGTTTGGCATTCAGGTCCGTCGTAGGTAGGAATGGAATCAATCCATGTCAAACATGGCATACATAAATGAAGCAGTAAAAGCTCTCTCGGTTCCTTAACAAATGCAAAGAATAGCCTCAAAAGAGGCCTATGATATTGATACTGGGTTGCCGCCAGTCCAAAAAATACTGGACATGCCTCCGACGGCCCCTGTGTCCGCTATATCCTATACTAAGGCTCTACTATCCAAGATAGTCTGAGTATGCAAGGTTGAAGAAAGAAGATATAAGACAAATATATGCAAAGAAAAGAACAAATCACCAAGCTCCCCAACCCCCCTCCTCATCGGTATCGTGAGCAACTCCAACGACCCAAAAAATCTTTGTCTTTCCACAAAAGCACTCGCACAACGGGGTATGTTGTCTCATCTACGCAAAGAAGAATGACTCCTTGTATCCCATGCCGCCCATTTCCTCTTCAACCCCCTTGCCCCTGTCCCTGACCTGCTTGCGTTGGTTGCCCTATCCCCCAGAATTTGAACCCGGCCACCCATCTTTTGTTCCTGGCTTGCTGGGCGGTCCAAAAAGATAGTCACCGACCCGCATCTGTGTCCTGTTCTTTGCCCTTGCCCTTGTCCTCGCGCTTGACCTCTGACGTTGGAGCCGGCGACGACTCGCTCTCGGCTTCATCCCTGCTCCGCTTCCTGGTGTTGCCTGTCCTCTTGGCCATGTAGAAGTCGTACCGGTCGGGAAACAGGATGATGTTGGCCAACCTGGCGACTTCAGCCTCGGCCCTAGTGACAGAGTTGGATTTGCCGGCAGCTGCGGCGGCGACAGAGTCGTCCATCTCGACATCGGCATCCGGGCTGCCACCGTTGGTGTCGGCGGGCGGCGTGGGTGCAACGTCAAAGGGCGCAAGACCCATGGCTTGCAGTCCCGCTGGCCCACCAATCTCGGCAATCTCGGTCTCACCAACACGACCAATGTGTGTCGCCTCGCTTCCGAGCCCGCTGCCGGTGGAGTCAAAGTCGGGACTGGGGTGACCTCGCTGAAAGGTCTTGCGCTGGCGTGCAAGGTAGAGGGCGTTGTTTTGTGTGAGCGGCGCGGCCGGGACGTAGACAAGGATCGAGACGGGGCGGCTAGGGGGCTTGTCTTCATCGCCCATGGGCGGCGGCGTTGGTGCGCGGCTCGCCATGACGTTGGGGTTGGAGGTGATGTGGTAGGCCAGGTCGGGGTGCCAGACAATGTAGTCGCCCGTCTGCAGGGTCGGGATGGTGACAAGAGTCTTGCGAAGGTGCAGGTGAGGATGCCACAGCTCCGTCAACCGTTGCGCGTGGCCAGGAACAGCACCGTGGATGATGGTGGATTGCTCCTTGTCGAGCGCCCAGTTGGACGGGTCCAGGAAGGCTTCCCACTCGGGGCCATCACGGCGTTCTGGAGCCTTGGTCTTGGGGGAAAAGAAAGGGCGGAGCAGAAAGTAGGCGGTGGCCAGCTTGGGGCTGGGGAGCAGGCGTATAAGACCAGGCTCGATGGTGCTCAGGGCGACGACACCCTGGTACATGCGGAAGACGCTGCATGCGCCGTAACCGTTGTAGAGATCAGACGTGGCGCTGACCCGGTGGGTTGGGTCCCATGGGTCATACTTTTCCCACTCGCCGTTGAACACAGCCTGGTAGGTGCCTCCACGCCCATATCCGTCGGGCTCCCAGCGCTCCAAGCTGCCATTGTCGACCTGCGCAATCACGGTGGACGAGGCAAAATCACCCAGCAGCTCCAGTTCGAGCGCAGCCTTTTGCGCCTCCTCGTCTGGGGTCAGGCTTTTGCTGTCGTTTGCCACACTGTCGTCTTCGGCCTTCTTCTTCTTGCCAGCCGGCGCATCCGGACCCACCCCTCCGATGTTGGCGCCGTGGATGCGCAAACGATCGGCATAGGCGATGGGGAAGCGCGTGACCATGCGGTCGTCGGCGTTGTTGTCCCACAGCGACATGGCGAATTTCTGGGCAGCCATGACGCGGGGGTGGGCGCGGGTGCGCACCTGGGCGGGGGTCCAGAAAAAGTCAAAGCATGTCGGATCCTGAGGCGTGGGCTCCTTGAAGTCGGTCTGCTTCTCGAGATACTTGACCGTCTCGTCGATGGTGACCTGTGCGTCGGTGCGGGGCACGACCCCGCGGATCAGGCCCAGGCCGTAGCGCTTGAGATCGCGAGAGAAGGCGGCCCTGCACTCGGCATTGTCCATGTCGGCAAAGTCGATGCTTGGCGTGAGGTGGGAGCCGCGCTGAGCAATGTCGTCGACCTCGTCTCGCAGGGCCTCGATCAGACGGGCCCACGAGGCCTCGAGCTCGGCCTCATGGCCCTCGACGAGGCTGCGCTTGATCTGGGCGAAACGGGTGGGCAGCGGGACGGGCTCCTTGCCGTAAAAAGACAGCACGGGGGGCTCCATGGCGTTGGAGGTGCTGCTGACGGGGACGGGCCTGCTGCTGCTGCTGCTGCTGCTGCGGGCAGAAGCAGCGAGGAAATCAGCAGCGGTTAACGGGGGAGGACCATCGCTTTTTATTAGCGGGGCGGCAAAGGTGGCCGTAAGGTTGCGGTGCTTGAGCTTGGAGAGCCTGCGGGGGCGCTGCTGGTGCGGAAACAAGGGGAGGTAGGCGGCGCTGAGACTTCCGTTGGTAATTGGATTTACGGAGGACAGCTGGAAGGACGGGGAGGTGGGCGGCGGGAGCGTGACGGCTGGGGCAACTGGTGGTGCCGGAGACTGCGGGCGTTGAGGGTGGTGGCAGGTCGTGCGCCGTCGTCCGCATTGGTTGCACCGAGCTCGTGCCTCGAGACCCATGTCGTTAATACCAATCGGGTTATTGCCAGCCGGACCGGTTCCAGCGAGGGCCAGCGGTAGCGGTTCTGTTGCTGGCATTATTGGCCCTGCCACCGTTGGCCCCAGCACGTCGTGTATCGTAGATTTTGGCGGGGAGGAGGCTGTTATTGTGGTCGACGCCCTCGTCGAGACATGGACGGCGGCGCCGCTTGCTGAGCTTGCCATTGTGCCCGACTGATCATCGAGTCTGTCTGCGGTCCTGGTCGAAGGTCGTACTGCATGAGTTGGAGAGAGGAATGGGGGTGGTGGGCAGGCCTCTGGACTTTTACGGCTTCTCGCTTCCTGCTCCCTCTCGGCGGGCACGCCTCTCTGGGGAAACTTCGGCCCAACTCGCAGCTAGCACTTTAGCCTTGCTCCTCCGAGATGCCTGTCCCTCTCGTAGGTTGTCTCGATTCGACTCCAGTCCAGCCCAGTCCACCAGTCCAGTCGTCTTGTTGCCCCTTTCCCTCGATGCTGCCTCGGTCTTGGTTGCTGTGTCTTGGTCTTGGTTGTGGATGTCGGGTGTTGGTGTCGATCAACGTCGTCCGAGGTGTCAATCAGTCAGTCAGTCAGTCAGTAGCAGCAGCAAGCTGGAGGCCAGTGTGGATGCATCGTCGAGTAATAAGGCAGCCCAGGACTTTGGATGTCGGGCCAGCCAAGGCGTCGGAACAGCGACGGGCATCAATATAAAGAGAGTCCCTCGTTATCTTTAGGCAGAATGGTGGGAGGGCGGGCTCTGCGGCCGGAACCGCTAAGCATTCTCGCCAAAGCATCCAGGGCCTAGATGCCACTGGGTGCCAACAGCACTCGGTGCATCGATTTCCGCCGCCGCGTTTCCATCCCACTCCCACTCCCGTCTCATCAGCAGCTCTGAGGTGGATGGATTTCAAGTTCCAGTTCCAGTTCCACCTCCACCACCAGGTAGGGCCGTTGGACCGTCTTCGAGCGACGAGCCAGGCCCTGTCCCGGCATGATGCGCTAAAACGGTGCTGTCTGTGGGGGTTGCTTCCCCGCGGCTCCAGAGGCAAGAAAAATGGTCTGGAGAAGGAACGCGCATCCGGAATAATTTGGTCTTTTGCGCCATGCACGCAACATCCCCCCGCCGCCATTGGTCCCAGCAGCCCGCAGTGGGGCGCTTGTCGGAACGACGACTCCGCATCGCCTGAAGAGAGTGGCGCCGCTCAGCCGCCTCACGGCCCGCCATTCCCAAGCTTGAAGCTTCGGGCGGCATCCGAACGCGACTCCACGGATGGATACCCACTCGGTATCCAAAACAATACTGCAGTAGTACCGTGAGTACCTTTGCTCTGCTCTTCTCATTATCTAGTCTACCTGACTTCATGTAACAGGAGTATCCGCAATCCTCAAACAATTCAGCCTCTTTCAAGTGCCATCCGTCTCAGATTTATCTTTTTTCCCTCTCTTCTGGTCTCCTCACCTCACGGCCCTTCCAAGGGTCCTACATACTCCATACCGTACCCGTCAAGCACGTTTGATTCCATGTGCAGACGGCACAGATTCGGAATTGCCCCTCCTTCGCTTCCCGGGTGCTTGATCTGGTTGCCCAGAAACATCCCATCAAACGCCGTCCAATCTCATCCAATCCGTCACATGTTCATTCATGCCTTGAGCCGGTGTTCACCCGGATGGCCCAGGGGGCTGAGGGACCAACTCCCGTGTGAGCCGGGGGATAGGGGTGTGACCTCAGTCCGCCCTGTCTGAATCGGGAACACGGCTTATACCGACTACTGCTGCGTCCGGAGTAAAAGCTTATTGTATTATCGAGCACTCCAGCTCGTCAGTGACTAAGCTTCAGCTGATTGTCTTGACACTTTGGCCACTGCCCCTATTTGCGAAAGCCGTTGAGAAGCCCACCGGTACAATCTCAACGCTCCCCAGTTGTATACATAGGTACTAGAGCTGATTACCCTCATCCCAAACTCATACAACTTCAACTCCCGCGTCATCGGTCACCAGGGGGCATGTCCTCCCGCCCAGCTCACGCTATACCCAAAAGCACCGCCAAAACCTCGGAGCTCACCTCCCAACAGCGTCCTATTAGGCATCGTGTCCTTTTTGTGACTTATTTCTCTCGTGCCTTGTTCCCTACCCAAAGTAGCCTTGACACCAGCGCCGGTTGCAAATCCTAGGTCATCACGACGGTTGACCCCAGATTCATCAAGCTCACCAGGACAGACTTGGAGCATGCCGATGTTGATGCCACCACCCGTGGCGATCCCATCTCCGTCGTGGACATGACAGATCCTCCCCTCTCGGCACGATTTGCTTTCCAATCTGGTGGTAGCCTTCCCTTCCAGAGTATTATTGCGCCTGTCATGTCGTGTTGCCCTCCCCCGGATACAGAGCAATGTATCCTTCCCACAGCACAAGGTCACAACCGCCCATCCGTCCGCGTACCAGCCTGACCTGCTCTCATCCGTCCTGCCCCCCCCCCCCCCCCCTCTCTCTCTCCACAAATCCCCACGATGAGATTGACGAGTGGACAAAACCCCGCAGCCTGTCCAGTCAAGTCTGGAGAAAAGGGTAGCATTGGCCGTCTCCAATTCTCGAGCTTGGACTTTGCTGGCTGCTTGACAGAAAGCGGTATGAGCACCACCTTGTTGCTCCCTCCGGCTGCTTCGTCGACCCCCAAAAGCCTAGTCTATTCAGGCAGGTCCCGGCGTGGACAAGACGGGGGAACAACCGAGGTTATCTCACCTCTCGTTTGAAACTGCCTACTTGGATGTTTGAATTCGTCATACTCGTACGTTGTGTAATGTCGTCCTTGCTTGTGATTTCAACAGCACAAAGAAAAGAAAAGCAGCAGTCACACGATCTATTTAGGAAAGGTATCGAACCCCAGAAAATTCATCACTACTAAAGCTGTAAATCACCCAGTAACCCACGTGTAAGCCACGCAAAACCAAGGACCATCTTTTCTCCCCCCCAGACATCCCCGGGTCTGGCCTCCGTAGTCAAGATAGCAAGCATACCTATACTTTACGTCAGTGCCGTGAACACTATCCGAGTCCCCCACTCACAAACACTTCTTCCCCTCAGGCACCTACATGTCAACGGTCACGGACGTTGAGTCCCCCCCCCCCCTTCGGTACCGGCCCATCCTCATTCTATCCCGAGCGCTCTCAACCATACGACCATGCCCTAGTCTTCAAACTTGACTAAGAAACCATGGAAGAATATGACCAAGTGCACGCGTGATGTACCTCGCTTATAACGAAACAGCAGACTAGGCACTACACCCAAATCCCGCCCCCATTCAGCTTCCCCTCATCATCCTCATTCCCCGAGAAAGAAAGAAAAAAAAGGCACAAGCACCACCCGTTCATGCCAGTCCCCAGAAAGGCAGCAAGCTCCCGCACTACCATCCAGTTCTCACGCATCACGTAATGTCACCCTCCTTCTCTCTGATTCAATCTGTTGCTCCCCCATGCCAAAAATAGCTAGAGCCACATCTGGAGGGAATCGGGTACCAAGATAAATGACGATAAAGCCATCTCTGCTCAACCAATATTTAACCACTGGCACATTCAAAACCACACCTACATGCTGAGTTGAGCCAACAAGTTTGAGCTCGTGGGGGCGCCTTTGAATATCGAGATGCGTGTGCTCCTCGAGGCCGGTATCGGACAACCTTGCGAGCGACTCGATCTTGAGCAGGATAGAACAGCTTGATTCACGCACTCGGCGAATGCGCTTTGTCGTGGGCAGCCCAGGTCAGGTAGAGAGAGAGCCTGATACCGAGGCGGCTATTAATTGGACTCTTTCTATACCTAGTTGGATTCAAGATAACTATGTACAAAAGTGGATCTAATACCCTTTGTAATCCGCATCTACCAACCATCGTACACCTTTAAGTATACCCGTTGCTGACAAGCCACTGCTTGACACCCTCGGCGTCCCTCGTCCTGTATGCCGCGCGTCCGCGAATCTTGTCCTTGACCTGCTCCAGTGTCCGGTCAAAGCCCTTGGTGTCCTTGCCAGCAAAGAACGCCTCAATTTCCTTGAGCGTCTCAAGATCGTTAAACTTGGGCAAGCTCACGTTGATCATGCGGTCCACAAGAATAGGGTTGCCCGCCAACTTGCCGGTAAACTCATCCCAGTTGTCACGGATGTACGCCCACATCAGCGGCCGGGCCGCGCGGTTGCCAGCAAACATGCCAGAGAGAATGTGCATATCGGCGCCGGGGATCGAGTCGGCCGCTGCCGCCGGAGGAGAAGAGTTGAAAAGGAAGGGCAGCAGGACCTTCTTGATGACCTCGACGTCCGTGGTGCGGCCGAGAGCTTGGAGGCAGATTTCTTTGCCGTCAATAGCTGGGGTAGTGTACCACTCCTTCTTCAGCGCAGCCACAGCATTGGCCGGGTCTGTGACGATGGCGGAGTGGTACACGGGCGCACGGAGGTTGGCTGGGATGGGCGACTGCTCGGGGTTGGCCTGGTGTGCTGACCACCTTTCAAAAGCACCCTTGCGAATTCTGACCACGACTGTTAGCAAGAATATCGAAACTTGATTCAGAAAAGCACATACTCTTCATGCGAGTTAGACACCGCCGTGAGAAGCAACCTCTTGCGAAGCAGACCAGTGTTGAAGTCCTCGCCCTCCTTGGCTTCCCATCCCACCGTCTTGAGGGCGTTGTCAATGACCTCAAGGGTGAACTTTTCCAAGCCAGCCTTGACTTGCTCGTCATCACCAAAGATGGACTTGATGGTTGCGAGAGAGTCCAAAGCCTGGCTGAGCACGCGGTAGTGAGTCTCCTGCTTTAAGCCTTGCACAAAGGACAGGAGAGCAGCTGTGGTGGCATGGCCTGAAAATGCAAGGTCGGCGGCAGATCCAGTGATAAAGATCTTGTCCTCGGTGGTGAGATGATCGAGCTGGGTGCCGAGACGCTTGAGCCGGGACTCGGGGTAGTTGACACGGTAAAAACCAGTAGCGCCTGCGTTGAGCTGATAAAAGTCGTTGCTGACACCATCAATGGTAGACTCCTTGGTGGTGAGCGCCAGCGGCTCGATTCCCTTGGATCCCGTCTTTCCCTTGAGGGAAAGTGGCACCCACCAGGTGGTCTGGTCATCCTCGGGCTTGACATCACCAGTAGACAAGAAACGGGACTGCTTCACAGAAATCCTTTGGTCTTCCTCGGTGACCGTCAGGACAGGGAAGCCGACTTTTTCGATCCAATTCTGCATCAGAGTGTTGACATCGGTGCCGGATGCTTCGCTCAGAGCGGCCCACAGAGCCTCCGTCTTGGCATTGCTGTACTGATGCTTCCTGAGATAGATGGCAATACCCTTGAGGAAAGTCTTGACGCCGAGGTGGGACGCCAACATGCGGATCATGGAGCAGCCCTTCAGATAACTGATCTTGTCAAAAATTTGGTTCACATCCAGCGCGTCCCGGACCTCAACCTGAATAGGGTGGGAAGAGCGAACGGCATCCAAGGAAAAGGCTTGGTCCATCCCCTCATTGATGAATTGCGGCCACACATCCCAGTCAGGGTGAAGATGGTCGGTCGCCAACCAACCGGCCCAAGTGGCAAAGCCCTCGTTGAGCCACAACTCGTCCCACCAGTCCATGGTGACGAGGTTGCCAAACCACTGATGGGCGAGCTCGTGGGCAACGACATAAGCGATGCGGTTCCTGAAGCGAGCCTCGGACAGCTTCTCGTCAAAAAGGATGGCTGTCATGCGGTAGGTAACCAGACCCCAGTTCTCCATGGCTCCGTGGGTAAACTCGTGTACGGCGAGAATGTCGCTCTTGGGAAGTGGATAGTCAATCTCAAACTGCTCGGAAAAGTAGTCAATGATCTTGGGGGCGTGCTGAAGGGCCCATTGACCTTGCTCCTTTAGACCACGAGTGGTGTACACACGAACAGGAATCTTCTTTCCATTGTACTCTCTGTCGGTAAAAGCTTCAATGTGCTCAAAATCGCCAACAGCCCAGGCCAACAAGTAGGTGCTCATGATGGGACTGCGCTCGAAGGAAACAAGCTTCTTTCCTTGGGTGGTCGGCTTGGTCTCCTTAACAGGCATGTTGGACAGGGCCACTTGGTCGTCGGGAATCTCGATGGCGAAGTCAAAGGTCGCCTTGAGGTTGGGCTCGTCAAAACAGGGGAAAGCGCGGCGGGCATCACAAGACTCGAATTGAGTGCTGAGCATGTAGTAAAACTCATCATCGTGGGGAACACTGGCGGCCGGGGTAGCAACGGGCTTGTACTGGCTGCGGTAAAAGCCAGCCATGTCGTGGTTGAGCTCGCCGGTGAACTCGACGGTCAGCGAGGCCTTGGGGGACGCCGGCAACTGCTCGG